CTAGTGATCAGGGGCCCTTTAGGTAATCAGGGGCCTCTCCGGTGACTGCATGGGCTTTTCAATTGATCAGGGGCCCACCAGGTTACCGTGACCAGGGGACCCTCTGAAAATCAGGTGCCGGTTATACCAGGGACTCCTCGGGCAACTAAGGGCCTTCATGTGACTGCAGAGGCCCTTCAGAGAATCAGGTACTCCCCGGGTAAACATGGGCCCCTCAGGTGACCAGGGCTTCTTTAGATGACTGGCCAGGGGCCATCCAGGGTATCAGGGGCCCCTTGGGTAACTAGGGGCCCCTCAGATAACCAGAGGCCCCTCGGGTAACCAGGGGCCCTCGTAACCAGGGGTCTTTTACCAGGAGTCCTTCAGATAACCAGGGGTCCCTCAGGTAACCAGGGGCCCTTCAGGTAAACAGGGTCCCGTGACCAGGGGCCCTCAGGTAACCAGGGCCCCTCAGATACCTAACCAGGGACCCCTCAGGTGACCAGGGGCCCCTCGGGTAGCCAGGGGAATGGGGATCCCTTAGACAACCAGGAACCTCTCAGACAACCAGGGGCCCCTCAGATAGCCAGGGGCCCCTCAGGTAACTAGGGGCTCGTCAGATAACCAGGGGCTCCTCAGGTGACCAGGGAGACCCTCAGGTAACCAGGGGCTCTCAAGTAGTTAGGGGTGCTCTGTGCAGTGACGTACCCAAGGGGGGGGGGCCCGGGGGCCAAGGCCCCCCCCCCTGAGCGCCGAAGGCGCTCAGGGGGCCCCTCAGGCCCCAGGATATTTTTTAAACACTGGATAAAACGTCTTTTACTCGGAAGAAAAATTGATATTAAAGTTTCATTTATGTGCCCTGGGTACCCGAGGGGCCCCTGCAGTCATCCAAGGGCCCCCAGTTTCCTGGCCCCCTGGTCGCCTAGGGGGCCTCTGGTAGCCGGGGGCCTGGTCTCATGGGGGCCCCTGATAGCCTGTGGCCCCTAGTCGCCTAGGGGGCCCTGGTCGCATGGGGGGCCTCTGGTCGCATGAGGCCCCTGATCGACTGGGGGCCCCTAGTTGCCTAGGGGGCCCTGATAGCCGGGGGCCTGGTCGTATGGGCCCCTGATAGTCTGTGGCCCCTAGTCGCCTAGGGGGCCCTAGTCGCATGGGGGGCCTCTGGTTGCATGATATTGAGGCCCCTGATCGCCTGGGGGTACCTAGTCGCCCAGGGGGCCCCTGGTAGCCGGGGGCCTGGTCGCATGGGGCCCCTGGTTGCCTGGGGCCCCCGGTCGCCCCTAGTCACCTGGGGGACCCTGGTCGCCTTGGGCCCCTGGTAGCCTGGGATCCCCTGGTCGTCTGGGGCCCCTGATCGCCTGAGGGCCGCTGGTCACCTAGAGGGCCCCTGGTCGCCTGGGGGCCCCTGGTAGCCGGGGGCCTGGTCGCATGGGGCCCCCTGGTCGCCTGGGGGCCCCTGATCGCTTTGGGGACCTGATCGCATTGGCCCTTGGTCGCCTGGAGGGCCCTGGTCGCCTGGGACAGTGGGGCTCCTAGTCATCTGGAGGACCTGGTCGCCTGGGAACCCCTGGTCGACTGGGGGCCCCTGGTCGCCTGAAAGTACGCTTATCACCTGATTGATCCCAAATCATCTGAGCGCACCGAGCGCCCACGCACTGGGGAAGCGTCTCCCGTCCCCTCCCGTCCCGTCCGAGAGGGCCGCGCCGCCGGCGGGGCCGCCCCGGGCGGCGGCGCGGCTATTCGGAGGACCGTCTCGCCGCTGTCCGGCGCTAGCCCGTTAACGAACATATAACAACGTTATCTTCCGTTAACTATAGCGCCGCACAGACATTGCTCGAACGTTACATTGGCTGATGATCGGCCGGCCGTCCCTCTCACGTTATGTCCATTCCTCCATTCCTTGAGGCGCTCGCTCATAAAATGCCGTGCGTTTCATGCACACTCCTCAAGCAAAAATATTTCTACTTTCCAATTTTCCACATTTTCTCAAGGCTTAGACCGTTACAGAGACCAGGTAGTCTTTCTGCTCTGCACTCGACATTTTTAGAGCTAGAAGGCTGATTTTTCGTATAGCTGCTCCTCTATTCTTTCTTGATGTCCACTGAAAATTTCAAGTTTCTGTGATTTTTTTTGTTTCGGAGATATGACCTTGTTTTTCAGGTCATGTCATGACCCAAATGGCCAATTCTCAACATCTTGCGTTTGCCATGGGCCTTGTGGGCTTTTGATACCCTGATTTCGGCCTTTTTTGCCAGTCTTACCTCCCACCTATCATGGAACATGTTGTTTGACGATGTACAGGGGTCAAGGTCAGGGTCAAGGTCAACCCAGGTCATATAAGATAATTGCATTTTAGGCAAGCTGAATTTACTTTTTGTGAAGTTTTTTGACTGCATTTTTGGTAAAAGCTTCTCAGATCATGATTTCATGTAATATGGACCCAAAAACAATCGGTGCACACATCAGTAGGGGAAGTTGGGGCAATGCCGGAGTTGGGGCAAAGCCGAAATTCGAGATATTTCTAAAACCGTACGACATGGATGCCACGTCTCAGTGATGCTCTGAAGCTTAAGTGACTACAATTATCGCATGTTTGTTACGAGTCGTCATTTGGAATACTTCGGCTGTGAGGGCGCCAAAAGCGTTTTCAAGGTACGTTTCACTTGTACTACATGCGCCTTTGAAGCTGCATTTCTTACTCATTATGCTACCGTTTGTCTGGCCAATTCGGTCAAGTAATCTTCAGCATGTCTTTGCATAAGTGTGCTGCCTATTTGAAATTTATACAGCACGTTTAAAAGTTATGGGCCTGCAAATGAAAGTATGGCTGGCTGGGGTAATGCCGAAAACGTGCAATTACGCACGTTAAAGCACGCTACGTGGACTTTACTGCTGTAGAATAGCAACGCGTATTTTTAGTCAAACAAATTACACTTTCAGCCGGCACAACGGCCTGTTACCTATAAGGAATGATTTACCTGGCATTTTCTTATTAATCACACAATTATAACTTCCACTGTGCACCAAGCGTCCTCAAGCTCTTAAAACGCGTGTCAGCTTTGATGAATTTTGGATAAAGTTTGAGATAAATTGGCAAAACATCAATGTCGGCATTCCTCGTAGATCATTTATCCCATTTTCGGCTTTCCCCGCAGTCCGGGGCAACGCCGAAAAAGTCAGTTCTTTGATATTTTTAGTTTTTGCGCTTAACGGTATGCGAATTCATCAAATGCGCCTGGTATGTTTGAAAGACAAAAGACTGGCCTCTCGAATGACGCCAACAAGAATAGCTTATGTTGTCTACCTTGCGTGCTACGGGCGTCAGAAAAAAAGTATTCGGCGTTCCCCAACTTCCCCTATACACACAGACACACACAGACATACAAACACATATAATTGACCTTGACCTAACTTGACCTGAAATGACCTCAGCAGCAAAATTCTGGTCGGGTAGTGTAACAAAGAGGTTCTAGCTGGCTTGGCACCAGAAAACAGCATCGTCATCGGTATTTGATAAGCAGCGCACTTGATATCCAACGGTGACCCAAAACAGCAACATTTTTTAGTTTGACCTGACCTGGAAGGTCAATGACTGACCTGAGGAGGTAAAACTGGGTATCATTGGATTCGTCTCTTCCCAAAGAATCTTTTTGGTCTTTACCGCTAAGCTCTATCTCCAACAGGAACCAAATGGCGCGGGGGGTGGCAACCACCCCCCCCCCCCCATGTGCGTTCTAGGATGGGAAAATGGCATGTGCAGGGAGACCCAGAACGCTTTCGTTACGCTGGTCCCCTGAGTCATCCTTGGACCTCAGAAGTCAGGAGCCCCCGTGGCCCCCCTTGGGTACGTCACAGCACTCAAGTGACCCAAAGGGCCCACTTGCATGTCTGATCCCAAAGGGGGAGGTCATGGCCTCTTGGCCTCCCCCCTGGATACGCCAAAATCCAAATCACTATTTGACCCTCTCAGTCATAATGGAAATTAACATGAGATTCATGTCACCACTCACCAGCATCAAAGCATAGGATGCAATGCCATATATAAAATTACTCAGATCACTTTGATTGCCGTCTGTTATGCTTTTGCGTGTTCAGTGCAAACTGCAAAAAGATGCAAACTTTGCAGTGAATTAATAGCGTCAAACAATACTGATAGCAGTAAATTAAGGAAGTTCCTGACCATAAGCATACATAAATTGCGCAGATGATACGTTTGCAAAATGCACGAAATTTGAAATTTTGATTTTTGTTTGACCGCTTCGGTATCACTGGACATAGGTGGGTAATGTTTGTAATTTCTGCTTGATTTTTTTTTTGCAACTTTAGTGCTTGTGATGATCTTATCCATTGCAAATGCTGTTTTTAAGCATTATATAAAATGTTAGGTACCTACAGGTCAAGGTTACATTGATGCACACTTTAACCCAATTTAATATTTATATTGATATAAGCCTTAGGTACCTACCTGACCTCACTTGACCTTACCTTACCTTAGCCACCTATCTCCTGACACCTGACCTGAGACTAAAACGGCTGATCATGTTTCTCTCCCTACTTTTAAATTGCCTTGTTATAACTTATAAGTGTCACACCACTTTGACCTCACAACCGCATGGCATCATCAAAACTATAGAACAACCACATTTAATTCAACATTCTAGGGAAATAACACAAGTCTGGTATTTTTTAATAAATATTGGGTATTAGTTGATATATTAGGTCTGAATGCCAAACTGATTATGAAAAGCACACTATACAGTATTTTTGACCTGATTAAATATCTGATAGTTACCTATTCATTCTGGGACAAAGTATCAAAACACCTGTGAAATATTTACTGTTACAGCAAAGTGTTACCACACTCCACACACATGAGGCGAAGCAGTAGGTACAATGCCGATGGCAATGTCTTAAGAGAGATTACAGGCAATGGTAGGTCAAATATTTTTAGGTTAAGTGGTAATGTGTCAGTCACCAAATCTTAAGCCAACTTAGCAATATCATACAAAACAACAAGTACCTACCTTAAGCAACCAATAAATTAGATAATGCCATCATGCCGTCACTCCTGCTCCTCCCTGATTCCCTCTCTAACCTAAGGCAGGGCTATCTCTACAGGGGCCTTTCTTCTTGAACCATGGTGTCACAACTGTATATAAACAATTTACCAAGAACAAAAAAAATCACCATATTGAAAATGAATTCATATCTTCATCCATGGTCCATCCCCCAGGTCAATTAGTTCAGTGATTCTCAAAGTTAGCAGCCCTTCCTCAATCTTCAGTCAAGCTTGATGGATCCACCTCCCTGATGTGCGGTACTTTCAAAAGCCCGTGACTGATTGTGCAAGACTTTGTTGGTGTTATACACTTGACTGAGTAGTTGTGCTAAGCATACCAAATTAGGAATCAAATGAACTATAAAGCCAAAGCAAGGCTGCCTTTTGAGCAGTTAATCATGAATTAAGTGAATTACTAAGCCAAAGGAAGGCTGCCTTTTTGACAGTTGTGTGTGTGTTGTGTCATCTTTTTGCTGCAACCTCATCCTGAAATGCTAGTGCCACTTTCACTCTGGCTTGCTTAATGACTAATACTACTTAGTGATAGAAGGCAATGGGAATATCTTCATTTTAAAATTGCTCTGATTGTGCGTCATGCTGCATCATGTAATAGAAGGCAATGGGAATATCCTCATGTTAAGATTGTTCTGATTTTGCATCATGCCTTTATTTTTATTTTTTATTTATTTTATTTATATATGCCTTTATTTATTGGGTGATGAGGTGATAGTAGCAAAAGTAGATGAATGTTTTATAAGATTTGAGTTGTATGAAGGGACGAACACAAGAAAGATGCATGACCCGCCACTTGTATGAACCTGGCTTAATAGCAGATTAATCCTAGAAGTCACTTGCTTCACACAGTCAATCTGTACTCTGGAGCAGGGGCGTCGCCGACGGGGGGGTCGGGGGGGGGGGTCGTGACCCCCCCCACTCTTGAAAACTGGGGGTGTCGACCCCCCCACTTTTTGTGATGCTGAGTATGCTTTTTTAGCTTTTATGTCAGTGAAGCAGGCGTCAGCAACACCAACAAATACATCAGATTCAGAATCGCTTCAAGAGCTCCCTAAAGCCAATTAGCCAATTACCTAAAGTTCAATTAGCTGTGGGCGGGGAACACCAGCACAACAATATTTTTAAGTAGCCACCATTCTAGTACCTTTTTATCCCTAAAAGGATTGGACGCGCGAAAACTGCCCCGAGCGTTCGTCTGATCGTTTAAAAAAAAATGGTCGCAGTCGATTCGTCGGATCAGTACCTAACTACAAAACTACAAACTAGCCTCAGCCCCATGGCTATCGTCACAACTAGCTGTACAGTGCACATGTAGGGGAAAGGGAGTCAGATGAAACCGTCTCGGGCTTTCGCAAAGAAGTCGCGCAAAAGGAGCCGATTGCAACGAAACTTCCGGTGCGCTCGTGTTAATCACCTACTTAAAAATAAATCGATATCCCTGATTCAAATAAAGAAGACCTTGGTTCACTTTTTCATAGCATGCTTTTAATTTAGGTATAGGATAGTTTTTGGAGCTGATTTTGAACCTAGCGCCCATCTGAACATTTGAAGTAGTTGTGTTGCTTATACATATGTATAACATGTTAGGAAGCAATCGGTGGTGGTCACTGCCCACTGGTCATCCACTATTAGGTACTGGTCGATCTGACCTGACCTGACCTGATCTACCCCAAATGCATGCATGGGTGGAGCTTTTCCAGGAAAGTTGGTGGGGCAAAAAGTTGTCAAACCTACAATGTCCGATTGTTAAGTTAGATAAAATTCAACAATGAATCAATTCTTTTCATTACAGAGATAATATTTTGCATTACACAGACATTTCAAAGCTCCTCAATGCGAAAAACATAGGTTTGTTAAGCAGTAAAGTCCTGCAAATGGGCTTAAGTTGGTGGGGCAAAACGCTTATTGGTGGGGCAAAATGTCAAGTTGGTGGGGCAGGCGCCCCACCAAGTGAATAGGAAGCTCCACCCTTGAATGCATGGAGTCATCATCTTCGTTCAAAACTAGATAACATTCGTAATCAGAACCTCGAAAAACCATCACAACTTACATTCGCAAAGTTCTAGCAGGTCCCGAGTTTCCCTACGTATTGGCGATGACCTGAGTCCTGAGATGACCCGAAACCTTGTAAATGGGTATCATCGGCTTTCTCTCGTCACGGGCAGCATGCTCTTTTTTTCCGCAAACCTCTAGATCGATCAGGGGTCGAAAGCATACATCAGCGTTACTTTAGTATACGTTATACGTTAGCGACTGGGAGCCCACCAATAGAAGGGCTACAGTGAAGCAGAAAACATATTTGATAGCTCTTTCAACGCTCTTTCGCTAGCTTCGGGTCAGATTTCATCTCAGGTCTATGTTTTGCCCATAGAAGGCAAACAGCTAACTGGACAGATTCTGCCGAAACATTTGCTTTGCAATAACTTTAGATTCCGTGAGTTTGTATGGTATTTACATATGTTGTCTTGTCACCACTATGTTTATCTCTTTGAGACGCGTCACATGAGTTAAAATTTGACCATTCAGAATTAACGTTAAAGCGACCTCAGGTCAACGTTATGTCCTGATCGAAAAAGGACCTCCTGCTGCATATGAATGGATCCGTGTTGTTGAGCTGAACAGTGAACACCTTCCAGGTGCTGTCATCGCTCTACCGCGTCTTCGTCAAAAGTTGTAGAAAAAAAAAATGCTGGTGGCCATCGATGGACATTTCCACTAATGACCTTTCGAGTCATCACTCGCCATAAGTTGCACCCTGTCCCTGGCAATGATGAGCTGATTTGTCATGGCTCCAAAGATATTTTGCGTTTCTGACGAACTTTTTCAAAGCAGGAGGCATTCGTGCTTTTTATAATTTCTCATTATATTCTAATGATGAGGTCACGTATTTGACCTGCCTCCAGATCATAGATGTAAATCCTCAGAATCATGAATTGCTGACACGTATAACCCCATTCATTAGGTATACAGTGTACCAAATTTCGAAGTTATGGGAGAAAAGCTACAAGAATGGCGAGAGGGGAAAGTTTGTGAGGTATACCGTATAACTGAACTTGACATGGCGACCTGACCTTAAGTGACCAGTGATAATTTTTACGCAAGTGATGTAGGTAGGTAGGTATACCTACCTAATAGGTTATACCAAATTTCGCGGCGCTGCTTGCCGCTTTGTTACACGCGCACACATGCACATACGCACGCACAAAACTGGGAAGTGTGGCAAAAAAACACCCCTATCCATCGGGTGAAGACTAGAAACCGGACCCCCCCACTCAAAAATCCGTGGCGACGCCCCTGCTCTGGAGGTACTTAGTAGGTATAGCAATGACTGACATGGTGTAGCGAAGTATCACCTCTGTGTTCACGATATCTATTTCTATCTTGCAGAGACAGGGAATCATGCCTCGCCGCGACAGCTCACACGCAAGAAAGAGGAAGGCGGATGAGCTGGATGACGATCCGGAGACCCAGGCTGAGCTGATGTTCGGGCCGGCAGGGACGGAGCTGCCTGTCCTCTCTGAAATCACCTATAACGTGAGTGACGGGCCCTCTGTACCCTGGACCAGTCGTCCGCAGACTCGAGCAAGGTGTGGTTGTGTACGTGTAAGAAGCAGAGGAGCAGGCCAGTGCAGTGTGCTGAGCGTCATGGATAGAGAGCCTTTTAATCGCAGCAATATCTATCTACTTTTTATTTTAGACCAATGACTCAAAGCGCTTTGTCTTTGTCGCCAGGTGAAACAGAATCTCACAAACATGACTGAGGTGCTGTCGCTGAACGGCGCGCAGATCAAGCTGAACGTCAAGCTGTCGGGCAACGACATCATCTCCGGCCTCAAAGTAAGTCTCATTAGTCAGCAGTCGCAGCGGTTGCACTGTGTGTTGATTCTTTTGCCCTGAGGCAACCTCTCCCGAGGGGACATGCCTTCCCCTATGTTGACCTCCCTTCTCACCTCCTCCAGCAATGGGCTCACACTTGCTTTAGATGACGTTCTCTGAATAGAAGGTCATCTTGACATCTTTTAAGATGACTATTCTCTCCATGAAATAATTTTGTCCCTTCCGCCTCTTATGAGGGTAACCTTTGTTTCATCGTCTGGGGGTTGACAGTTTTCAACGGTCACTCTCTTTTCACCTCAGCTGACCGCCTGTCAACTTGGTTCCATCATTTACCTTTATCATAGCACCAGCTAGCCTAGCCTTTCTGTCAGCCATACCTTGACTTCCAGAAATAAGGCACTTTAAGTTTAATGTGGATACCTACTTTCATCCAATCATTGTGGTGTTGGCAAATGATGTCAATAGTTCAGTGTTACTGCGCTTTGTGAGAGTGAAAAAATTTTCAATCTGTCATCGCTAGACCGAGTGTGTAAAAGTGTCAGCAATGAAAATTATCAGTCTTCACAAATATCATCTCCGAGCGTCACCTACATCAATGGGCTGTCCCATACAGTGATATCTAAAGAAGCCGTTATGTTCTCTCGCCGTCAGACGTTATACCGGTCGGGGGTCGTGCCAAAGCCATACCCCAAGCACATCCAAAAGATGGCCTCCCTCGGCAAGTCGGAGGTCAAGGTCAAGGTCAACTGTTCGCCAGATGTGCCTTCAACGGCTTCCAGTAACGACTAGGGTACAGGTGGGGATGGGAGGGAGGGATGTGGGAGGAACTAAAGGGTGTTGTTCTCAAGTGTTTTGATTATGTTTGTATATAAATACATGTGTCTAGTAGATGCAAACATTTGACGGAATGGTACTATAGAATGTGTGGAATGAATGAAAAGGAGCTGGGCAGAAGATGCTCGGTTTGGTGACATAGTGGTTTGCGTGGAAAGTCTGTGCGTTTCGCATTGTAGATGCATTGGTCATTCATCATATTCAGAAACTTATTGACATTTTTGATGTCTCATTGGCATGAGTGTCGTTTATATTGGCTTGGTGGGGCCGAGCCCCATCGAGCCCTATCAATAATTGCGGCATTAACTATAATATTAGCCTTATGGCGTTGCACGGCAAGAATGGCTTTGATATACCGAAACTAGTTATTTGATCCTGCCAATGATTTTCAGCATTTGTCATCCGTGCTCAGTGGCTTGACAATGACCTTAAAATAGACGTCCCACAAGTCTTCACTTTCTTACCTAGGCTTCCAGGATGATTGCATAGCATCGTTTTAGCTCCATTCCAGTATTGATAGCAAATCGAGTCCCATGAAAAAGGACAACAGCGCGCTACGGTGTGAGTGCATATTGTATGGGAGGCACAATATGCGTGGTATGCGTGCTATGAGCTTGTGTTATGGAAACATTATAGGAACATGCGTGAGAGCAGCATGCGAGTACATCTATTCACTACATGCAATATTTTATTTAGGTTATGCTCAAAACGTTCTAAAGAAAATGTGTCAGGTCAATTTCGGTGCAGCTGAAGATGCCAAGAGAGATAATATTTGAAT